CCAGGGAGTTCCTCCGTTACGACAAAGGCATTGTTCATTGAGCGTTACACTGAAAGAAACAGTTCGACATCTTGGCAAATGCACTTATTCACTCTCTTACTGAGAGTTCGATAAGCAGGAAGGCGTCACTGTAGCTTAGATCAGCATAAGGACTGGAAACAGTGAAACCGTTAGCCTGGCTCAAAAGTCCGTCTAACAGCACCTCTAAAGCTCATTAATTAATGTTATATATTGTGTTTGATCCTTATGAAGGTCAAAGTGCGGAAAAGACAAGTTGTGGTTTTCAAGTGGCTACAGGTAAAGCTGAAACAAAAGAAAATAAGAGCAATAGTTTGACAGTCATTTAATTTAATTTAATTCTCAAACATTGTCAGGATTTTCTGTTTTATTTCCTTTTAAACTGAATGTCTTTGGGTTTTGAACTGAATTGTCACCTTGGCAACAGGCATTTTTTTAACAACCACTAAACAATTCACTGATTAATCAACAAAATATTTTCCGGATTTACTTGCTAACTAGTTGCATCCCTAATTATATAGTGTAGTATTTCTTTTCCTAAAGATGCAGAAGTATGAATCTTGTCATCTAACGCTGCAAGAAAGTGAATAAGACTTTCCCCAATATGTGGAACTATTCCTTTAAATCAGAAGCGAAAAGCAGCATTCAGATTGTAGCTCCCTGTGAATGCACAGTGCGATGAAGTGAAACTCTCACACTGCTCTGTTTTAACTTCCTCTGGAAAATGATTTGAATTGTATACCCTCTCCTGCATTGTAGAATGCATTGTAAACATACATTATCTTGCTGAGCGTGCAAGCTGGTGAGACATTAAGCTGCCTCATATTTTTTCCTCTTCTTTTAAGACTTTTCTTTCAGTATTGACGCTGGAGAAATGGTGTCTGGTGCTGCAGTCTTTAACAGGCTCCTGACAGATCAGTCATTCTGCTTCCTCCACCTTACTGGGAAGTATTTAGCTGTCCATTCTTTGTTATATGCTCAGCATTCACTGTCGACTTCCCTCTTTTTCACGGCAGCAGAAGGCATATTGACTTCACTGAGCAACGGTCACATTGTTTAGCTGCTGCAGCCTGGCAAATAATAACATTACCATCTATTGGTAACAGGCAGGTCAACAAATTAAGCAACTAAATGGTATCACTTGCAGATTTGTGGGTCAAATGAAAGTGTTTAACAGGGCACACAGTCTGTGGTCTTGCTTTGACCCTGCCTATTTGATAGGTGAATAGCGGTCTGAGGGTCTGAGAGAGCAAAAAGCTGCAGGTTTGAGCCTTGGAACATGATGCCAAACACCTCTCTGCGTGCCGGTTGTCCGTTGCAGTGGATAAAAACGTCTGCTAAAAGCCCGGTTTGTACCCAATTTGAATAATGTTTAGTCATGGAAAACATTTTCATCGTTGTTGTGCAGCTTTTTGTGCTTATCCTCAATGATAGAGAGTCATGCAGCCCTATAGCAAGACAGTCTGCAGTAAACACGCTGGTCAAGAATTGAAAATAGGAATTTTTTATTTTTTTGTATTGTCCTCCTGAGGTTTTTTTGGCAGTGCACATTTAGATGAGAAATACCAAGTGAGAGAGGGTGGGAGATGAAGGAGAGGTGCGGGGAAAGATGAGGTTTATACTGATGGTCTGCCAGTGAACGACCCCCCAGCCCCCCTCGCTCCCTCCCCCCCTCGCTGCCTCCTGGGCCTGAGAAAAAAACATTCTCCTGATGACATGAATCATGGATGAGTGTGCATCAGTGTGTGTGTGTGTGTGTGTGTGTGTGTGTGTGTGTGTGTGTGTGTGTGTGCGAGCGCATGTGTGCGTGTGTGTGTGTGTGCCCGCGTGTGTGTGTGTGCCTGCGCGTGTGTGTGTGTGTATGTGTGTGATAGTGCTGGCAGGGAGATACAGTATTTTGGGAAAACCTGTTCCTTTAAATCAGTGTATATAAGTGTGATAGTGTGTGCTACCTGCATGCCAAATACCACACACACACACACGCACACGCACACACACACACACACTCATGGATATCTATATGGCTCTGTTGCCATGCTCGGCTCTCAGTCTCCTCATCGTCTCTACCTCTCTGCTTCATCAATCACTTAAGATCTCCCACTGCTCACAGCAAAGCTGGACCAATTAGGTCCTCTAATTGAGCCAATTAGCAATTAAACACTCAGATGCACCCCTAAATTCCAGAGGTCCCCTCAGGCACACTTAAACCTGCCAGGGACTTGGATTTTTACCAGGGATTCTGGCTTGTGTTGGCCTCTGCTGCCCTCTGCGCCTGCTCAGGCTTGAGGTGCAAGTTTAAGGGCAAGGAGAGACCTGGGCTGGGCCTGTGGATGTGGGTCTATTAGATGTCCACTTCTTTGAGAGACTCCCGGGTCAGAGAAGGAGCGCCTCGTGTTGCTTTTACTCGAGGACTCTCTGGAGGGCCTGGGCTGAGCAGAGCGAAGCTTTTCATTAACACCAGGACCTGTTTCCTCTCCATCTCCATTCTCACTTTTCATCACTCAATTTGTCCTCACTATCCCTGCTCCTTTTTTTTCCCACTCTCTCTTCATCCCTGCCTCTCTATCTCCCAGTTTCCAATTTTTATGTGTTTAAGAGGATGAAAGTTTAATGGTAGACATTGCAGTGTGTGTGTGTGTGTGTGTGTGTGTGTGTGTGGGTGGAGGGCTCGTCCCTGTGTGCAGTGCAAAACAGGCCGGCCTCTAGACTCTCCACGGTTTAATTAGAGCACACATTGTGCTGCCCGTTTCTCTATGAGAGGATACACACCCAGACGCACACATGGGTGCGTGGGCAGAACAACAAAGTCCACAGTGAGAGGAACAAAGGCAGGCACCAATATATTTAGGCTGAACACACTGTACCACGAGAAGACAATGAGCAATTACAGACACTACGGACTCGCTCACAATTACAGCTCTCTGAACGACCACGAATCTGTTTTCACCACAGTGCCCCCCCACACACACACACGCACACACACAAGCTGGAATACATCCTTCTCTTGAAGAGCTTGTTGTACATAAGAAACTTTTATTGTTACATGAATGAGTCTCCTTATTTGGATGTCTTACATCAGTGTGAGTGAGGCCGCTATATCAGCCTATAGACTCTAATTATCTGCTGTCTTGCCTCAGGACGCTTAACTCCCATATACTTTCAAATTCAATGGCTTTATTGGCAGTGGGAGAGGAGAAAGAAAAAAAAAAAAAAAAAACAACAAAAACACAGCGGCGCTTCAGTGGGTGCAGGCGATGCAATAATATGGTTAATGATGACTTTAAATGGGACAATTATGGCACGGTGATAAAGCAAGAGAGAGTGTGAAAGAGAGGAAGAGGTAATGGTGAATTTAAAAAATCAGATAAGGCTTTTTTTTTTTTCCTCTACTGTCTTCATCACTGCTGGGGTCTGTGTCCTGTACCGTTACATAACACCACCCAACAATGTTATGACGCTATAATCTCCTCCATGCCTCTTGCATCTCCGACTCCGGGGTCTGTTACATGAGGATTTGCACATTTGCACAGTAGATTACATGAATGACTGTACAGTGTGTGGGGAACTCATTCATGTGTAGGTCAGTCAAGGCTTACTGTGTGCATGTGTGTGTTCTTTGTGCTCTGCATGTAGCCAGGAAGTGTCCCGGGCTGTTATAAGCTGCTTACAGGCGCACATTATTGACCTTTGACCTTACTGGGCAGTGAAAGGCTCACCCTAATCTCCAGCCTCCAACTCTTCGTCCACACTGTATACTGTACAGTCATCTCCGGAATCAGCTCCAGTAACATAAATACTGAGGCGTCAGAGCGGTGGCGTTGTTAGATGAGGACTTGTGAAGTGGCGTGACTGCTTCGGCTGCTCTGTATTAGCTCTCTGCAGAAGTGTTTGCATGTTGGGAGGGAGCTCGCAGTTTAAACACAGTTCACCGGGGGAGGGGGGTGGGGGTTGTTTTGTGCGTGTCCTCATACAGGTCACTCCACGACAGGGCGAACAAGTCCAATTTAGGGTTTTCATGCATAATAGATGAGGAGAGTCATGTAGAAATGTGCAGTCAGCATGGAGTATACATGAGATTCCTGCAGGTTAGATTATGCTGCAAAACCCATAAGGAGTCAAATGTGACCACAAAGTTCCTTTTCCACATGCTGCAGATCTGCGTCTTTTTCCAGCCTGTGATGTAATGAAGTGAAGCGAAATATGTTGATCACCACATGAAATGTCCCTAAAATGAAGACTTGATCTCAACAATACAGCCTTTAGATTTATTTTGTCGTTTCATCTCCGCTGCTTTCATTTCAGGAAATATTTTTCACTTGGCAACAGTTGAAGGGAAAATGTTGCACTGACAACATTTAATGGAATATATTTCTGTTTCAGATAAGCTATAATCTCTCTTATCTTTCTCTCTCCCTCATCCCCTTCTCTCTCTTTTCTGTTTCTCTCTCCATGCATCACCGTCCATCTTTAAATCTCTCCCCTCCTCCCTCTCTGTCTCATCCTGCAGAGTTCAGTGGCTGTTAGAAACATCAATCAAATTATCCGGATGAGAGACGACCAATAGGGATGGAACGCAACAGAGCCATGGCTGGGAAAGCGTTTCGGATCGCCATTGCTCAGACTCAGCACTGACCTTGAACCCAGACCCAGAGGTCCGTCCTCCTTCTCCAGCACCCCGAGGACCCTTCTGTCCCCCTGCAGCTGCTTTGCCCTCCATCTCACCTTCACTCAAACCTCAAAAAAAGGCTCCTTTTTGTCTTTCAGGGTCTGCCTGCTTTTGTTGTTTTAATCCCCCTCTTATGCTTTACCTTCCACATTGTTGGTTATAATCCACACTCTCTTATAAAAAAGACACAAGTACTCCAAAACAGACTAAAAGCAGGTGGCTGAACTGTATGAATCCAGTCATGTACCCCCTCCCACTTGCTCTCAGCAAACAAAGTCGGCGGGGTTTGTCGTCCAGGACGCGTCCCCTTACTCTCATGACAGACTGCTGCCTGATGGGTGCACTGGGCCTCATCCTGCTCTTCAGCCTGGCCTCGAGCCAGAAGATGGACCCCTCCAAACACCCCATAGTCACCACCAACTATGGCAAGCTCCGAGGCATCAAGAAGGACTTGAACAATGAGATTCTAGGCCCCGTGGAGCAGTACCTGGGTGTGCCCTACGCCACAGCACCCATCGGCGACCGCCGCTTTCAGCCGCCCGAAGCCCCGGGATCCTGGCAGGAGATCCGCAACGCCACGCAGTTCGCCCCCGTGTGCCCTCAGAACGTCCACGGGGTGCTGCCAGAGATAATGCTGCCCGTGTGGTTCACAGACAACCTGGATGTGGCGGCGGGTTACATCCAGAACCAGAGCGAGGACTGCCTCTACCTCAATGTCTACGTGCCCACGGAGGATGGTGAGTGGACAGTATTAAATGAAGGGATGGTGGAGGGTGGGAGGTGAGGGATTTTGTGGGATCCTTGACTGTTTGCTAAGCCCCGCCCCCTGAGTTATTGATGCTATGCCAGTCAAACACACAGTTACAACAGGGGCAGATCTACCAGTGTAAACTCTTAACAAGTTTTAAAAACAACGGGTCCTAGGTTTCAGACAGGGGTACGGTCTGTCGCCGGCAGATTTTACATGACCTTCACGAGCTGGTTGGAAATGTCCTTACTTTTTAAGGTTTCCAGCTGACTTGCTTTAAAACAAGGAGTCTGTAAATGGGCCCCCAATTATGTTGTGGTAAAGACTGAGGCTAAAGCTACATCCCCAGATGCTAATCCATGCAGAAGACGGGAAAATAAATAAACAACATTCTTGTATTGCAATGTAGAGCTAGGTAGCTCTAATGTTAAAAGTATCTAACAAACTAATATAACCCTATTTAGCTGTGTAGCTTGTACTTATACCTACACTTGCATGAGAGACTCGAGTAGAACAGGACAGAGCTGCTTACATTGATCTACACTCTGAATAAGTATTATCCATGCAGGGCCCGCCAGCCTCCACACTGTGTGTCTATTACCTTGTTACTTGCTATATTTTTTGCACTTGTATGATTTTGGAGCAGGTAAAAAAAAAAAACCCAAAAAAACAGAAACCACCTTTTTGAATGGGAGTATCTCTCTTATTACAGCCCCATGCACACTGCTTCCAAATCGTGACAGGCCTGCTGTGCCTAGTTGCGGTTGCTAAGCTATGACTAGACAATTGCTGTTCAGGGGAGGGGTTTAGTGAATGGTTAATTAGGAGTGGAGTCTGCAGAAGTTCACTTCATGTGAAAAAGTGTCTTTAAAACTCAAGTGTACATTTTCATTTTTTTCAAGGTCAATGCACTACTTTCACTGTCATAAATATTGCACATATGCTTCTTGTAGATAGTGAGTATTAGCTTTAGCTTTAGGATGGGGTGTGTGTACACTATGCAAATTATTCCGAGGAGGGTCAAAGAATTTTTCAATTACCCTTCCCTGGTTTTAGCACTAGATCCCATTCAAGGTGTTATAAAGCAGGAGAACAAAGGGCAGGAGTGAAGCAGCTTCCAGGTGCTTTATGAGAAAAGGATTAGGTGACATTTGACTTTTCTTGCTTTTTTTGTGTTTTGTTTTGTTTGTTTTGTGTTGACCTTTCAAAAAACCCTCTTCTCCCTACTCAGATCATACTGCGGACGTTTTTGTCTGCCCGCTGTGTGAGCAATAAAAGAGAAATATTCCCGTTTTGTCGGCAGGTGTGATATGAAGAGTAAAGACTTCCACCCCCCCCCCACCCTGCACCCCCCACCCCACCCCACCCCACCCCCCTCTCACCTTGCCTCAGGTATTGTAAAGAGTGTTTGCACATTTGTCTTTTCATTTCTATATCTCGAATATAAGCTGCACAAAGCCAGCACCTTTCACAGAGTAAGAGTCATGTTTGGCGGGTTTCACATGCAGGAAATGTTTTTTTTTTCATTTACACTTGCTTTGACCTCAGAGACGACCGGAGGTCTTCAGAAATTAAACTAGGAAAGAAGATCACATCATCTGCTTTAAACAGCATGTGTGTATGTTTGTATTGATCTATGTTTCTCCTGCTGTCTTTATCTATATTGGTGTTTATGCCAGCACACCACTTTGACCATTTCCCTCACTCAAACACATTTCAGTCTCCCTCTCACTTCTTCCATCACTTGCCTGGACGTTTTTTTTTTTTTTTTCTTCAGCCCCTCACAGCTCAGCCTTCGTTCCTTCCTTCCTTCCTTCCTTCCTTCCGCCTCTCCGCTCCCAACACGGCGGCCTCAGCCCTCGACACCCCATCATTGCCACTTATAGCTCCTCGGGCACATATAGAACACAATGGATCAGGTCTTGAGTCATTTCACACTGTCACACTGCTTGTTTTTTCTGTTCACCCTGCTTTCTGAGATGTACGACTTGGTGGAAATGCAAGTGCCAAAACACAGAGATATATATATATAAACACACACACACACACACACACACACACAGTCCCACGCGCCCGCTTTCACACTTTCTGGAAATGTCACACAGGTGCCTTTGCATTACACCTAACATTGTCAGCATAATGCTCATTGTCTTCATGTTTAATGAATGGAAAATATTTGCAAATACCTATCACAGTGCCTTGGTGTATTAAAAAAAAAAAAGAAAAGAAAAAAAAAGCAGGCAACATATGAACTTGTTTCATACCCCATCCTTCATCATCACTGCTGCTGTATTTATGGTGGTCAAGTCAGGCATGACATTGCTAGCCTCAGCATTCCTCTTGCAGCCCCAGGGTTGTCTTTCTCTTTGCTCCTCCTTTCCTCTGCTTCTCCGGCTGCATTGATTTTTTTTTTTTTTTTTTTTTTGGTCGGGAGAAGAGAAGAGTGGAATAAAGAGGAGGGCAAACAAGAAGTAGACAGGGGATGAAGAGAGAAGAAAAAAAAACAAGAAAAGCAGAAGAGAGGAGAGAAAGTGAGGAGAGGAAACAAGGAGAATAATGGAGAGGAGAGGAGAGGAAAAAAGGAGAGAAGAGAGAGGAGAGGAAACAGTGAGAGAGGAGACAAAAAAACAAGGCGAGGAGACAAGGGAGCAGAGTGGCAACAAACAGATGACAGGAGAGGAGAAGAAAGGAGAGAAAAGAGGATGAGAGGTAAGAAGTTGAGAAGAGAGAAAACTGGGAAAGGAGAAGAGAGGAGAGAATGCAAACAAGGAGAAAAGAGAGGAGGAAACGAGGAGAGGAGATAAAGGAACAGAGAGGCAACAAGCAGATGAAAAGAGGAGGAGAGGTAAGAAGTGGAGAAGACAGGAAATTTAGGAGAGAGGAGAGGAAACTAGGACAGGAGAGAAGAGGAAACGAGGAGAGGAAATAAAGAAAGGAGCAGAGAGATAACAAGCAGAAGAAAGGAGAGGGGAAGAGAAAGCTTTTGGGCACGAGATCAAACAACAGCCATCACTGACTGTCCATTGGGACTATCAGCTCAACTCACTGCCACACACCACAAAGTTAAATATGCTCACACAGACACACACACACATACACACTGACTCTCTCCCATTTTCTCTTACTGTGCCGTTGATTGCGCTTCTATTCTTTTTACATTTGAAACATGAACGCTGCATCTCTCAGAATCTCCTGAGGCCTTTTACTTGTATCCTTTTTTTTAGGGCACCCTTAAGATAGAATCCTTAAAAACCTCCTCTAATTTTAAGTGGATTAAGCCTGCAGAATTACGTCTTAATGCTGCCATCAGTGCAAATGGAAAAAAAGTGGGACACTGTGGCATGAATGTGTGTGTTTGTTCATAGACAAACAAATACGCTAACATTTGGTGGTTACTCATTGCTCCTTAATTAATACTTAAGTACTTAGTAAGTTGGAAGGCGAGCCATGTGCTGTCATTTTTCATTAATTCCACAGCACACATGCACAAGCATGTTTCTGAATTTGTAATAATGTAGGAACAAACCAAGAAATGAAACACAAGTAATCATCTTCTGTCATCTTACTAATCATCTTACTATCTGATTAACAGCGGCTTAATCCAACATGCAAATGAGGATTTTGAGTGTTTTTAGATTTGACTTATTTCAGTATGTCAGTATTTCAGAGCCTGGAATGATATTTCTGGTTTCTGCTCAGCCTTAAACTGGAGGACGGTTCTCGACATATTAATGCGTCATTATTGAAGTGCACTATAAAATAGACAAAGCTTGGCACCATAAAAATGCAAGTACTCATTACACTCTACACATTGTGGCCTACTCTGAGACTGCCCTGTAAAAATCAGAGGTTAGAGACAAATGACCTTTATGGTTGTTCAGGTTTGAGGACTTGCTGGCTTAGAAGAATTGTTACAGTTATGAATCAGTAATAATGAAGGATGGTCCTATTTTAATTACTAATAACTAATAAAGTGATTGTCACTGGAATGCCACTATAATGTAAAGTGTTAACTGTAAACCCAGCTTGTGCTCCTCATCCTTGTGGTAGAATAAAAAATCCGGCCTTAGGACCCTGGGTAACTGGTTTAGCCCTCCAGCTCCCTCACCAAACCAAATACAGGGAGGGAGGGGCTCCACCGGTTCCCCTGGAGATGACAACCCATAAATCATACCAAGAGGTTTTCATCTAGCTCCTGCAGAGTCACGCTGGATCGATGGACCAAGGGAAGGGAGGGAAGGACCGGCCTCTGCCTCTGCCTCTGCCTCTGCCGCTGCTGCCTCAGGCCCACAGACTAACCACATGCTTCTCTCAGCAGTCAGCAGCTGTTAACACAGAGCAAAACTTCATGGTGAATGAGTTGGAGTGGCTGGACTCAGCAGCGTCCAAATGGGAACTCGCTGTAAATGTTTACCCACACACAGGAAGTCATATGGTTGTGCTTTGTGCAGTTAGGCACAGAAACCATCGCTTTGACTTGAGCAGGAACAGGTTAGTAAAAACAGGTTTGGGGTTCGTGAAGGAGGCTTATCTCGTCAGGAGACCCACACCCGCTGAAGCATCTGCACTGACTGACGACCATCTACACTGGCTGACTGGCGTTTTGTTGAAGAACTGGGCTCAACACTGTGACAACTGTCAGCCAGCAGCGATACAACCCTATAAAAAAAAAAACAATCTATGGTAGCAATACTCATCCTCAGACGAGCTTTCAGCAATCAAACAGGCATGGATATTGAAAAAACCTGAGACAGACTTCACCACTCTTTGAAAGAACTTTACTGGGGGTAGGTCAGGGTTTAACTCTCATAAGCTGTTACGAAGTGCCTTTTAAGATGCTGGTTCTACTCAATTAGTCCTGTTCTAGGAGGGTGTACATTCGTTTTGCTAGATGATCCCATGGGATTTGAACCGCTAACCTCAGCGTTGTCAGCACTCTGCTTCTTGGGCTGAGCTTCAGGGTGCAAGCTGGGGGCCTCATAAATTATTCCAT